TATTTGTGCTGGTACTCTGATCCTAACAGTGATATCAGAGCTGCGTTCGAGTCCCGTTGTGCTAGTCACTAGAATAGTGTTGGTAAAATTCTGAGTATGCTCTGTGGTTGCAGTTTAATCTGATCTTCCACATCAGAAAGGAGTTGTTACTGGAAAAGGTGTGGTAGTGTGAAAGTACTATTGAGGAAAGTTCTGGCTAGGAAAGACTTGGTACTTAAGCGTGTCCATTAGTGACCCACCTCTCTTTCCTGGGAACCTACTTGGTGTACTGGTTCACGGTCTACTACTATTGTTCCGGTAAACAATACTATTTATAAGTGATAGTTGCATAAGTCTGTATACAACCATGGTAACAAAGTACGAGATAGAGAAGTTCAATGGGAACAATTTCTCGTTGTGGAAATTGAAGATGAAGGCAATCTTGAGAAAAGACAATTGCGCAGAAGCAATTGAGGGAAAACCTGCAGAAATGGCGGATAAAGATTGGAAGAAAATTGACAGCAACGCTATTACAAATTTACACTTGGCAATGGCAGACTCAGTTCTATCCAGTGTTGCGGAGAAAGATTCTGCAAAGGAGATTTGGGATGCCCTCATTAAATTATATGAGGTGAAGTCACTTCACACAAGGATATTCCTGAAGAGGAAACTCTATACTCTTCGGATGAGTGAGTCCACATCGGTGACGGACCACATCAACCAAGCTGAACACCTTGTTTGCCCAATTAGCGGCGACAAATTTCAACATAATTGAGAATGAGCGTGCGGAGCTTTTACTTAGAGCTTGCCGGACTCGTATGATCAACTCATCATCAACATTACAAATAATAATATTGAAGGACAACTACACTTTGACGATGTTGTCGGAGCTATTCTAGAAGAAGAATCTAGGCGAATGAATAAGGTAGAAAGTTCTAAACAAACAGAAGTTTTGACGATGATGAGAGGAAGATCAACGGAACATGGCTCAAGTGGGAGTCAAGATCATGGCAGATCGAGCTCTCGAAACAAGAAGACTTTCAAATTTAAATGCTACTACTGTGGCAAGAAAGGACACGCGAAGAAAGAGTGTTGGAAGAGGAAGAATGAAGAATCAACCTCACGGGGTTGCGTTGCGAGTACTTCGGAGGAAGGAGTAATTGCAGTAGCGAAGCAGCAATCGGCTCCAATGGCGGAAACGAATTTCATGACAAGTGGATAATGGATTCGGGTGCAACTTGGCACATGACCCCACACCGAGATTGGTTTCAAACCTACGAGCCTATCTCGGGTGGATCCGTGTTCATGGGAAATGACCATGCATTAGAGATTGCTTGGAGTTGAGTACTTGTCAAATTAAAAATGTATGACGGTACTATTTGTACAATCCAAGAAGTACGACATGTGAAGGACTTGAAGAAAAATATATTGTCTATAGGGCAATTGGATGACCTCGACTGCAAGATCCATGTTGAAGGAGGAATCTTAAAGGCGGTGAGGGGAAACATAGTTGTCATGAAAGCGAGAGAAAATCATGGCAAACTTGTATGTGCTTATGGGAGACACCTTGCAAGAAAACCATGCAACAAGCTGCGTCAACAAGCCAAGAAGAAGCGGCGGTAACGTGGCACCGTAGACTTGGACATATGTCGGAGCGAGGTCTGCAGATTCTTGCGGAACGTGATCTCATACACGGGCTCAAGAAGGTCGATTTACCCTTCGTGAGCATTGTGTGACAAGCAAACAACACGGGTTGAAGTTTGCAAGAACCACCACAAGGAGTAAGCAAACTTTGGACTTGATCCATTCGATGTCCGGGAATCGCCGGAATTATCTCTCGGAGGAGCAAAATATTTTGTGTCGTTCATCGATGACTACTCGAGGAGATTATGGGTATACCCTATCAAGAAGAAGTCCGAAGTATTTGCGCGGTTCAAAGACTTCAAAGCACAAGTAGAACTTGAGGCCGGAAGGAGAATCAAGTGTTTGAGGACGAGACAATGGAGGAGAATATGTAGATGGAGATTTTCTAGCATTACGCAAGCAAGAAGGAATTGTGAGACAATTTTACGTTCCACACACGCCTCAACAGAATGGTGTAGCGAGAGCGGATGAATAGAACTCTTCTAGAGAGAACCGAGCTATGCTGCAAGCTGCGAGCATAACAAAGTCTTTTTGGGCGGAAGCCGTGAATACTGCCTGTTACTTGATAAATCGGTCTCCATCAACAACAATTGGGTTGAAAACTCCTATGGAAATGTGGAGTGGAAAATCAACCGATTATTCTTCCTTACATGTGTTCGGTTGTCCCGCGTACGTGATGTATAACACCCAAGAAAGGACGAAGTTGGATCCAAAATCCAGGAAATGCATCTTCTTGGGATATGCTTGACAATGTGAAGGGGTATCGCTTGTGGGATCCCACTGCCCACAAAGTTATTGTTAGCGAGAGATGTCGTCTTTGCGAGAAAATGAACTGCAAAGCAAGCGGATAAATGACGACTCGGAAAAGGACAAGACTATAGTACGAGATAGAGAAGAAGACTTTGGAACATTCCTCCGAGTCGGAGGAGGAGCATGAAGAACATGAGCCAAATGAGGTGGAAGAAGGAGAACTCAGACGATCAACAAGAGAAAGAGTCGAGATCATCTTGGCATTCACAATATGTGATGGCAAGTCATGATGCGTATTGTCTCCTAAGTGAAGAAGGAGAACCTTCAACTTTTCAAGAGGTCGTGAGTGGTTCAGAAGCTCCTCTATGGATGGCTGCTATGGAAGAAGAAATTGAAGCTCTTTATAAAAACAAGACATGACATCTTGTGGAACTTCCAAAAGGTTGCAGAGTCATTGGTTGCAAATGGGTCTATAAGATCAAGAGAGATGCCAATGATCAAGTGGAAAGATATCGTGCTAGACTGGTGGTAAAAGGATATGCTTAGAAAGAAGGCATTGATTTCAACGAGATATTCTCACCAGTTGTTAGATTGACAACAATCAGAATTGTCCTGGCGATGTGTGCTGCATTTGATTTACATCTTGAGCAATTGGATGTAAAAATTGCTTTTCTTCATGGAGAACTTGAAGAGGAAATATATATGCTCCAACCAGAAGGCTTCAAAGAGCAAGAAAACTTGGTTTGCAGGTTGAACAAATCTCTATACGGTCTAAAGCAGGCGCCAAGGTGTTGGTATAAGAGATTTGATTCCATCATTATTAGCCTCGGATACTACAGACTAAGTTCAGACCATTGTACTTACCACAATAGGTTTGAAGAAAATGATTTCATCATATTGCTGTTGTATGTGGATGACATATTGGTGGTAGGCCCTAACAAAGCTCGAATCCAAGAATTGAAGGCACAATTGGCTAGGGAGTTTGATATGAAGGACTTGGGACCAGCAAACAAGATTTTAGGGATGCAAATTCACCAAGACAGAAAAGATAGGAAGATTTGGCTTTCTCAAAAGAATTATTTACTTAAGATCTTGCGGCACTTCAACATGCAAGATTGCAAGCCAATTTCTACCCCAATTCCTGTCAACTGTAAGTTATCCTCAAGTAAGAGTCCTAGCAGTGAAGCGGAGAGGATTGAAATGTCTCGAGTACCGTATGCATCAGCAGTGGGAAGTCTTATGTATGCCATGATTTGTACAAGACCGGACATTGCACAAGCAGTGGGAGTGGTTAGTAGATTCATGGGGAGTCCTGGTGGAGAGCATTGGCAAAATGTGAAGAGGATCCTTAGGTATATAAAAGGAACCTCAAATGTTGCATTATGTTATGGAGGATCATAAGCAGTTGTTAGAGACTATGTTGATTCGGATTTTGCAGGTGATCTGGATAAAAGGAAGTCTACTACTGGTTATGTGTTTACCATCAATGGAGGGGCAGTAAGTTGGTTATCCAAGTTACAAGATGTGGTAGCTCTGTCTACTACGGAAGCTGAATACATGGCTGTCACCCAAGCATGTAAAGAAGCTATCTGGATTAAAAGAATAATGGGGGAACTTGGTCACAAACAACAACAAATTGTTGTGTATTGTGATAGTCAAAGTGCCTTACACATTGCAAGGAATCCAGCCTTTCATTCGAGGACAAAACACATAGGAATAAGATATCATTTTGTTCGAGAAGTAGTAGAAGAAGGAAGTGTAGATTTACAGAAGATCCACACTGAGAAGAACCTAGCAGATGTAATGACAAAGCCGGTTAATGCTGACAAGTTTATACGGAGTCGATCCCTCTATGGCCTATCGAAAGCATAAGCAACATGGATGTGAGAGAAGAAGACATAGTGTGAAGATTTGATTAATTTCATCAAAATCTTCAAGTGGGAGATTGTGAAGAAAGAAGTCCCACAACGGTGGGAACTTCAATTGGGGGGCTCTCCTCCTTCTTATAAAAGGAGCCCCTCCCTCCTTATTTCAACATCAAAAAAAAAAAAAATTTCTCCTTCTTTCTCTTTTACTTTCCGAGTATTGGTAATTTCCAATTGTAAAGGAAATGGTAGTCATTATAAAATTTCAATTTTTGCCTATTGTCAGTGTTATTTTTTTAGTCTCTATTTTAGTTGTGTGTATTTGTACTGGTACTCTGATCCTAACATAAATTACATGAAAGTTACAAAACTTTAGGGGGTCATGATCCCTTTCAACTCCCAAGAAGATCTGCATTCCCCATTCTACCTAGTCTCAAATTGTCTAAAAAAAACTATAAGCTGTTTTTTTTGAGTTATATATATCATCCATTTGAGAATATCACAAGATAACAAGGAGTAGCTAGCAATGTGTGGTTTGAGGCACTTCATGTGACAAATTACTTTATATAAATTCAGCTTTCATTATGACCAAGAGGTGCACATGGAGTTAAGAAAGTGCTGATATCTTTATTCTTATTCTCTTGCCCAAAACAACCCCATTCTTAGATTTGTTTTTGAAATTTTCTCACCATATATCATATGCATAATATCAAATTCCAAATACATTAGAAAATGGTAAAAGAAAGAAAAAATAGATAATACATGGCCACCACCGGGTAATGCGCGCCTTGATTGATGTCAAACACAGAAACCTCAATCATTCATTATTTATGTAAATTTTTATCAGAGTTTAAGAGTAGAATTCACGTATAATAGAAATAAGAAAATTGAATAAAGCAGATTGAGAAACCTAATCCCTTAACATTTTTGTTGTGTGTTGAAAAGTTAGGTTTATATTCTTTAATAATTGGTGATGTTTCAACGGCATGCATGCATGGAAGATGCTAGTTGTCATTTTGGAACTACTACCTTTGATTCTCGTTTCTTATGCTAGATAAATAGTAGTATTTTTCATTATAAATTGTTTTCCAATTATATAACATCACTTTTCTTTGTCTGAAGTAAGAGACTATTACTGATAGATATGGCAGCCAATTCAAACGCACTTTCTTTCAGATCTTTTATTCAAGTTTCGTGAACTGTTTTTCCACAAATTTAGCTTATGGAAGATGCATATGTTTGTTGAAGATTCATTATTTGACAAGGGTGGTTGAAACCATGTAATAGCACCTTCAGTTCTCTCCGATTCGCACATGGTCCATGTTGTATTGGATTTTGACTTATTTAAAGAAATTGTTTATTTAATGAACAACTACATTTCTGTTTTTCACTGTGTTTGTATAATCCGCTTATTAAAATTATTTAATTATGTGTTTGGTTTATGAAGTTTTGCATAAATCAGATTTGAAATATGTAATTAGTTCTTCAAAATTTTAATATAAAATATAATTGTTGTGAAATTTATCAATATATTTTCTTAATATGGAAGATAAATAATTCAATGATGATTCGAATCGATTAATGTGAGACTTTCTTAAATTCAAATAATATTTGTATGGTTTAAAGTTTCTGTCGAGCATGTTTAAGATATGCTTGCAAACCAAAGTTTGGAAGATGCGGTGTAACATCAGACAGATGAAAAGTTTGAATTTTGGGGGATCCATGAACTCCGAAGCCTGCATTGGAAACTTTTGATTTTGGAGATGCTTTAGGTAATCCATAAGCTACTTTCTATAATCGAAATAATAATAATAAGAACAGAATATGCATGCGAATCAATAAAATAAAAAAATTGTTTTTAGTTTCTGAAGGTTTTTCTACTTTTATATTGATGAATTTGGCTGATAATGTTAAGAATATTGTTTGATTTTAGTTTTTTTTTCACCTGTAAAATTTTGTCGTGATCATTATTTAAAAATTCATATGAATTTGTAATGCAAGTTTCATCCTAACTAGCATATGTATTCACTAGTACTAACTTGTATTATTAAAAGAATTTTATTAATAAAATTACGAGTAAAACATATAAGAGTACGGCATTGACTTCAATCAAATTCTTAAAATTTTTAAGTTTATGTATTTTTTTTCACTTATATATTATTTAATTTTATCATTCTTACCCAACTTTAAAATTGCTATTCAATAACTATATATACTTGAAAAATTTTCTCACACAGGAAAATTATATTACTCTGTAAGAAAGAACCGGTTGATTATTGTTGCTTATATTCCAAGTGCCGATTTCTTTCATAACAAGTTTGGAACCATTCTAAAAGAATCCTCCAACAATGCATCACGTGGAATTTTAAAAATGATGGAAGAGAAACCACAGATCCATGAGTGTTAGATTTCGTATTTTTAATTCAATTTATGCTAAAATTCAGAACTTTCTTGTCTTCCAATACACTAAAAGTCCAAGAAAAATTGGAGCATGAATTAAATTGAAAAGGGAAAAAAAACACTTCACCTTTATAGTTGCTCGTGAACCACATCTAAAAGGATTGCAATATTTAAAGTCCTCACCCTTGTTAGAGGAGACTTGGGGACCCAGAAAATAAAGGACATAGTGACCTACGCCCAACTTTGGAAGAGGATAAGAGCAAATAAAATGAAACCACATTATTTTCCATCAACATCAATTGTTGTTAAGAAATGGGTTGCATTACGTGATGATTAGGTTTCGTTTCTTCCTAATACATAAAATCAAGAAAAAGTAGAAGAAAGATTATATTTGATATGCATATGAGTTCTTTCACAAACTCCAAACTCCAAACTGTTAATTAACCACTAAAGATAATTTGTCTTATTCACGATTGATTGAGGAAGCCATAGATATTTTTCAGGCATTGGACAGTGTAAATAACATAAGTATACATGACTTAGTTGTCACACATATGATGTAAAATGAATGGTACGTGTTAATTGATTGCGTCTTCACTTTGTTCAACTGTTTTTCTTTCGTTTTCTTAATGTTGCATCGTCATTCAGTTATTATCAATAATCCCTTAAGATAGGTGTACATGGTAGCCAATGATTTGCGTGACAAATTTGGATTCACTTGCTGCATGTTGCTTCCACTTCTCAATTCTTATGCCTCAATCTAATTCACAAGTCTCAATCGAGCGAAGGAAATTATATGAAGATATCACTTACAGAAAAGGTTTATACAAAAATACACAGTAAACAACTTGAAACCAATGATTTAGATGCTACACTTATCTCTTCAGCAATGGATATACATGTTTGTGTTGTGACAAGTACTCTTATCCACAGAACATTGTATATAAAGAAGATTTCTGTTAATGAAATCATCCAATGAAAAGACAGTGGTTGTTTGATTACCCTGATACATATCTAATGATTAAAAAAAATGAAAAATTTGGAAATATGATGTCGGCCAGAATTTGAGAACTAATTAATGCTTTGGACATAGTATTTTGAGACAAGGACTCCATCAATGTTGTAAGGATAACATCTGCTTTTATTCAGATACATACATTGCTTTCCTTCCGGGAAAAGAAAAAGAAAGACAATTTTAAATTAAATATGTAATGCCATCTATATTCACAGTATATTTAAAGAAAATGTAAAGTGAGAGAGAACGGAAGAAATTGTATCTAAAGGAAATGTGGCCCAGCCAAGTATCATTAATCATGAGAACTGGAATTAAGTGGATAATACATCTTTACATGTAATATTTTACAAAGGTGAAAAAATAGAAAATGAAAAGAATGAAAATCCAATTGGAACAAGACAAGCCCCTGTGTGTGACTTATTCATGCCCGGAAGAGAATGAGGGAGAGAGTCAATAAACAAAGAAAAAGAAAATAATCACATTGACAAATACAGCTAGGTGCAGATAGAAGGAATTAGTTGAAGGAAACCAAGAAAACTAGTTGCACATAGAAGGAGCAAACCCCACAGTGTTTCTTGCAAAGTCAAACTCCCATAGATGGTCTTGTTGCATAATATTGCCTATAACTGAGAGACCAGAATCGCCAACTATCGGCACAATTCCGATGCACTTCACTTGGGGTGCCACATCAATGATGTAGCTCTTCACTGGTGGCTCAAACCTTGCTCCCCCTTCAAAATGGAACACTAATCTTGGCATTACAATGTCATCAAACCCCTCATCTTCAAAGCAAAAGTCCAAAGCTCCAAAATCTTCCTCTGTCACCCTCTTCACTGAGGCTAGGGGTTTGGTCAAAGCCTCATAAACTGGCTCATAGGCTGGGTAAAGTAGGGCAGTCAGGGTTGTGCCTGAGTCAATTATGGTGCCGCCTTCAGTATTAAAATCCCAAACCTCAGGTGGGATTTTCAGCATTTCGTTCCCAATTGATATGCCTACTACGGTCACACCATAGAATGGAGGAAACAAAATGAGTTCGGTTCTTTTGATTTCTGTCAGCAATTTGGCTTTGAGGTGGCCACCAAGAGTTAGATAACTTGGGACGTTTCTGTGGCTCAAATGGTCAACTAGACAGTAGGAGAACTGGGAACCATATTTCCTGCCAGCTATATCAATGAATGAGTCCTTGGCATAGCCTAGCCCCAATATGCCACCAGTCTCCTCGTTGAAGTTTACCCCATCCAGCATCGTTGTTGTGCACCCAATTGTGATATTATCCAGTTTTCCATTTTTCCCATTTAAGAGGTCTACTGAGATCGTGTCAGTGCCAAAGAACCCGGTTGCAGATGATCCATCGGCATAGCTGTCAAGTAAGATTAGAAGAGTCAATAATTGAACATCGTAGACAAGAAAACAAAAATGAGTCATAGGGAGACTCCTTAGAGTTGAAGAGGGGTTCACTCTGATTTCAAAAATTAAAGTGAAAAACTATGTAGGTAGGTTGATTACAGGCAGAGACTCTCATGCCTTTCATACAGAAATGTGGGTCATGTGACGCTCACCTACTAACATTAATTCTCATTTATAACCATGGCTGGATGCTGGAAAGAATGGTTGCTGGCTCACCAGCAGGAGCATGCCCCTTTTTGTGCTTGTGTCTGTGTATGAGGGGTACTTTTTGTTAATTAGCAACCCCAAGATTTTTCTTTTCTCAAAGAAAGAAAACAAGTCTAGCACATTTAAATATTTGATTATGATGGCCATAAACAGGAGGAGGCTTGTTCTGAATGGACTCTCACTCCTTTCAGAACTTTACATGCTTTGCTGGACTAGAAATGTTCTCTTCTTGTAACTGCTCCTTAAAGTTGTGGAGTTAATAGGATAATGATATGTCAAAACTTTAAATTCCCAAAAACAAAATAAAAAAATGGTACACTGCAACTAATCATTAAAACCTTAAACCAAACAACCCCCATGGCTCAATTCACAAATCACAAAGATGGAATTCTGCCTAGAATCATGGCATACTTAATAATAACAAAATTAAAATCAAACTTAACTCTATTTCAGAAGAGACAAGTTCCAAATATTTTTGGCTAGCTATTAAAATGAAACTAGACTTCTTGATATTACTTTGGAAAAGGACATACCCCTCCCACCCGCTTTAATTACCCATCTCCCTCGCCCTCAGAACACAATCTGAATTTGAGGTCCAAAAACGACAGCCATTAATTTCTTCCCCACCCTCTTTCAACTCATTTTTTTCCAACAGATATTTAAAAAAGCAATCTCATTCAAATCATAGTCAAACATACAACATTTCTTTTTACAATGATTCTAACTTTAATCCACCATCCTGAAAACTAGCCACTTTCATCTCGTCCTGTTCATTGCCAACACCTTTCCAGAATCAAGATATCAGAAAAAACTTCAATCGGCCTCAGTGCCCGTTTCCAAAACCGTCTCCTTTTTCTTCTCCACAATAATAAAAAAAAAAAAAAACCGTTGCCCCATTCCTCCCATCTTTTCACAACAACCCCATTAATTAATTTCCACAAAAACTCCAAAATCAAGGAATAAAAAAACCCAGCAAAAACAATTTTTTCACCCCACCCAATCAATAAAGAAAAAAAAAACTTTTATCATTGCCCTGTTGGTTTCTAATGGAAGTCAAAATTTCACTCCACCAACTAACTGGCCCTAAAAAAACTTTCATTGAACAGCATTGCATATTGTAATAATAAAACACTATATCTGATACGAATACGTAAACATCAGATTTTTGCTGCTGATAAGGTAAGCCCAGAGTGATGAAAACAAACAAGAAAGAAGAAAGAAGGAGAAAATTTTTGACATACCCGATATCGTATAAGCAAGGATCAGAAGGCTTGGGGCAACGGGTCAAGGAGAAAAGATCACTGAGGTCAACCTTGCACTTTCTGGAAGCACATGTTATAGTGTGAAAGGTGCGAGACTTGTGCGGACAGAACACCCCATCGCAGAGATCGCTTTTCTCACTTCTCTTCTTGTGACTCTTTTTCTTCTTCGTTCTCGTGTGGTTCTTCGACCCTTTAAGGTGGTGCTTCTTCGCACGACGCAGACGCTTCTTCTTCTGCCTCTTATGTTGGGGCCGGTGCTTCTCCCGCATCACACTGTTGAACCACGTGAACTCGCTGCCGGTGTCGGCGGCCAGCCAGAACTGCTGCCCCGGCGTTCCGACCTTAACCTGAACGAAGTACTCTCCGATGCCGAGGTCGCGCCCGGTGAGCATCGGCATTTCCACCTCAGACGGTTCCATTTCTGTGTCCCTCCTCCGTTTGTCGTAGCTCAATTGAATTCCCAGCCTTTGGTTGATCTGCTGCCGTCGCATGTTGTCCCTCAACACGAACCCTTTGAAGGCCTCCACCCGATCCAGCTGGCCGCTGGTGAACTGCTCGTTGTGCCGGTGCAGTAGCTCGATGGTCGTGCCGTGAATCCCCGCAGGAAGAAAAAACAAGAGGAGGGTGAGGGTGAGGGTGAAAGTGACGAAAATTGACCCATTAAACATGTTATTGATGTTGCTGGTTTTGTTGGTGGTGTTCCATTGCATCATCCTCCCCATCAATTGTGGAATATGATATTGATGATGATGATGATGATGATAATGACGATAGAATGAAAAGGTAATGTGTGTTGCTACAATGTGTGTTTGTGTTTTGGTTTGACAAGTGGAACGAAAGGGTGGTTGATGAAAATGGGGATGTGAATGAATGAAGGAATGAATGAATGAATGAGAGGGGGAGAATAAAGGGGCTAGAAATGTGAGGGGGAATGAGATTGAGCTGGTTTTGATGGAGATGGGTCCATTTTACTAGGATGGATGGGGGTGGGGGGCACCAGCAACAAAGATATATACGATATAGGAGAGAATGGATTTTGAAGGTAGGACCTTCGTTTTCGTCAGATTTCCTTTGGGGTTGTGAGGGCTTTGCCTATATATATATATATATATATATATATATATATATATATATATCCTCACTAGGTTCAAATATATAATTTTTTTGACTTTTTTTTAGTTTCATTTGGTAAGTTTAATTTTTTTTTTTAAGAATTTTGTTGAAAAGTTTGTTTTTTTAACAATTCACTTTTAGTTTGATTTGGCAAGTTTAAAAAGTTACTTTCTTTTGAACAATTTAGGACGTTGACAGATAATACATGCTAAACTGTAAGACATGTCAATAAGTCTGTGTTGTGCTGTCAAAAGAAAGAAATCAATTTTAAGGTAAGTACTTCTATTCCATCTAATATATTATTATGATTATGAGTATTTTGTGATTTACTTTGTGGTAGTATTAGTTTGTTGTTTTGTGCGTTGCGTTGCGTTGTGGTTCGCTCTTTCTCTCTCATGCTCTCAACATCCACGTCGTTTTTTGTTTATTTGTTTTTGGGGTTTTGTCTTGGTTGGCTTCCATAATTGTTGCACAGTTTCTGCAGTGTTAACTATTTTGGATTCTGGTTTAGTTGCCACCATCACCACCTTCGATATTATTTTAGTTGCCTTTTTTTTAGAGTATTTAGAAAATGCATGATTTTTTTTATTTTATTGAGCAAATTGGAGTGAAAAAATGGGCATTGATAGGGTGTTTAGTTTATCTATAAATATAAATGTTTGCAGTTTTTGAAAGCCTGAAGAAGTTTTGTGATTAAAGAATAACTGGGTTAAGTATAAAATATCTTTGTAGGTTTAAAGAGGTTGTGAATTAACATTTTGCATATAGAAGAGATTGGGTATACTTTAATTTGGAGAGAACCAGCATAAAAATAAATTATTGTGTATTTATTATGCTGCTTTAACTTTTTATTTTGCTGAGATGAACTATTTAAATTTTTGCAATTTCCTTAAAAGAAAAGTTCTATAGAAATGTGTACATCACTCGTGCCACCTAACATTCCGATGCTTTGAAAGCAAGTGACGTAGTCACTTACAACTAGATCCTAGGAGATAGTATCTTTGAGATTTGTGTTGAATGAATGTTTTAGTATTTTTAGAAAAAATAATTTTCTCCATATCTAACTTATTCAAATTGATAATTTGCATATTAATAACTAGTTCTATCACAATTGTCCTGTGTAGTTAGTATTATTAATGGTAAAATATATTTTCAGTTCTTATAAAATACTTTGTTCATTGAAATAACTTTTTATTAAAAAACATTATGTTAGTTTAGATTTTATAAAATGTAAATTTTTTATCTCACCTTGTACGTGGATTTAAGTGTCATCTAGCAATGTAAATAATTCATCCATATATTTTTCAAACTTCACTAATTTTTTTTTTGCAATTGATGACTTTAATAATTCACGTGTTATTAGTCATGATAATTCTTCATTAATGATAATTAAAAATTTAATAAAGTATTTAATATTTAATAAAAATAAAAAAATATTTTAACTATACTAGACACAATTATTTATCATAATTAAAAAAAAACTTATTTTATCTTTATACATTCAAATAAAAATTTAGGCCAATTTATAGGGATAAAGAGGAGATTTTGGAGATTAATTATAATTAATGGTAATAGTTTTTTTAATCAGATTTATAACTTTCTACTCAAATCCAAACCTATTTTTTCGACTTAAATATGCAACTATCTTGTTAAATTAAAATTTTAAGTATGAGTTAAAATTTTATATGGGAACAAAACAGTAAAATTGAATAATATATAAATTGAAAAGACTCATAAATTTATTATTTAAGTAAAAAAGACCTATAAATTTATCATTTTAGATTAAAGATAATATTATATTTTTTATATTTACCTTAATTAAACGTAACATTAATATTAAATCCTTTCAAAGTTCTAAAATAATATCTTAAGATTTTAAATTAAAGTTAATAATATTATATTTTTTTATATATTTATCTGGTGTAGAAAAACCTAACCGTATTATTAAACTTTTTAAAATGCTAACAAATCTTTCCTTAGCTATAGTTAATCAAATAAAGAAACGGAGTTAACATCTTACAGTTTTTCTTTCTTCTTCTTGATTAAAATAGCTTTCTTTCTAAGTGTAATTCTTAAAAATAGAAATAACTAATCTATATTAATTATAATTAATGTAATATAATAATTATAATTAGCATAATTAAGACGGAACATATTTTTAAAATAATATTTAAAAATAATAAATAAAAATTAGTAAAACTTATAATAAACTTATATTTATAATATTAATAAAACATTGATATTTTTACATTTTTTTCTTTAACTAGTATTTTTTATATATTACTAATACTTTATAACTAATATTTTAGTCCATAAAAATATACACAACAAATATTTTTTTATGTATAGTTATATAATTATATAAATTTAATTTTTTAGTTTTAATAAAATTAATATAGAAAAAAACAATTAGATTCATTTGAATAATATTACAAAAGAATATTTTAAAGAAATACAATATATTATAATTTAAAATAAGATAGGATCTAATTGTAAATAACAATCACTTGTCAAGTAAACACACTTGGTATAAATCCAGAGCGATTTCTTCAATATTAAAATAATATTTGACCAACAAAAATTAAGATTTATTTTCATAATTTGAAATAATTTTCATATTAATTCTTAGTTGCTATATATTGTATTATGAAAAGTATGTTCATAATAATAAAACAAAAACTCTATATAAATAATTGAAACAGCTACAAAAGTAAGAAGAGAGTAGAATTTGACTTATCTGATAAATTTATACTATTTAGTCTTTATTAATTTCATTTAATTATCATTATTAATTTATAAAAATATAAATTAACATTGATTAGTATAAGGACTTAACATCGTAAAACAAAGATAGAAGCAAAAGTTTAAGAGATGTGGGGTTTGACTTGAGAAGAGAGGCCAGGTGGCTGAAAATGAATGGTTGACAAACTACGAACGCGTTAACCTAAAAACTTGCATCGACCCTTATAATCAAACCAGCAACCAAAGAAAAATTAAAGCCTTTTACTTAAATAACTAATAACGTGCTAAATAAATTATGTTTGAGACATTTCAGAAAATCACACTACTGATGGAGACTAAAGAATACATACGCATCATTCCAACTATTGTTACATTCCCTTTGAATATGATTATTTCTCTCCCTCTCTCTCTCTCTCTTTTTTTGGTTGATGTAGACTCTGTCGTTTAGACTAGTAATAAAAATTATAAAATTAACCTTATAAGGAATTTGTTCAATACTTTCTCCATTCAATAGTTGGCAATGAATCAATTTTTTTCATTTTTTAATATACTGGGCATTGCCAACTTGTATGAAATAAAGTTAACGCTTGTAGATAATATTATTTAAGAATTCTACTTACATAATTATAGAACTATAAGATTTATAAGATTTGTTACATCACAGTTCAATTAGGAATTGACAGGTGAATACAAATTTAAATTATAATTGATTGAAATGTATATTTGTTATTTCGACTATAAGATAATCATAAAAATAAAAATAAGCTTATGAATAGAAAATGAACATAGTTTTTTAACTATTTTTAATTTACCATTTTTAGATTTACAAGTTTTATTTTCTGTTTTCATTTAAATAATTTTTTAAAATGTTTTCTTCAATTACTTTTTTTATCTGCTTTTTCATAGATTAAATTTATTGATTTTTTTTTTTACATGTTTTTATATATGGCATGATAAATACTTTTTATAAATTATTTTATTAATATAATTTATATGTTTAGAATGTTTTCTTAATTAATAATTAATAATCAATATAATTTTTTAAAATAAAATAAAAATATCTTAATATAAATTATTACTTAAATTATATATTTTTATTAATTAATTATTTTATAAAAGTTAAAATAGTGTAAATCTATTATGTGTTTCGAATCCGCTCACCAAAATCAACTTTGAGACAATCGCTTAGCGGATGTGAAATCGCTGAGCGAAATTGAATCCGAGAGCTCTTCGTCTGAAAATCAGCAATCCGCTCAATGCTTTGTCATCCACTTAATGGATCCGCTGAACAAAATTCTTCCAGAGCTCATGTAACTAATTTAGCTATGAATTTGTTCAGCAGATTAGTTGAATGTCAATTTTTATAGAATGTTGTGCTTAAAGTGTGTGAGTTTCCTCCAAAGTCCCATATTGAGTAATTTAAAGAAGGGGAATGATAGACTACTACTACAAATAAGGGGTGATAATTTTGGTCTATTCACCACAACAATACTAGTCTTTTGGTGTATTAGAAATTTGGGTAGTTATATGTCAAGAGAGAGTTTACCATTTTTCCGTGCAAAAATTATTTGAGTTTCCGTAGGTGAAAATTTCTTTTTCCCTCTGGTACCCAACAACCTTGAACGCTTTGTATACTGTTGAAAGTCCTACATCGCCTACCTCATATCATTTGGTATGGTTTAAATACATGTTAGGCTACTCCACATATTGCCAATTGGTTTTATGTTGGAACCTTAACATGGTATCTAGAGCTTAAGGTTATTTTGAATTTTTTTTCCGCCTTAGACCACTATTGAAGTCGCCACCACCGCCG